GTCTCATTCCTCCATATTTTTACATTATACCTGCGTCAGCGAGCACGAGGAAGCCCGAAGTCGTCGAAAAGTAGCTCCACATCACAGCTACCGCGCACCGAACAAACCCGCATGCGCCAGCTCTGGGCGCTGCCATCTTACCGGTGACGTCACGGCTCTTGGGAGGTCACGTGACGAGTGGTCACATTTGTGTACAACATAGCGGCAACCGGGGGGGGGGGGGGGGGGGGATCCACTTGCGAACTTCCGGTTTATCACTCTAAGCCCCTCTACCTCGTTGGTCCGATCAGAATATCCGGCCACTAATACGATGCTTGATGGGGCTTCCTGGATCTCTCACGCGGCACACTCAACAGCGCGCTAGTCTCTTCACTCTTCGTGATGGTGTCCTCTATAGGCGGAACTACGAGTCACATGGACGACCCTGGCTGCTCGTTGTTCCTCGGACCCTCGAAAACGAACTCATCCAAGCACACCACGATGACCCTACCGCTGGACATCTCGGTTTCGCAAAGACATACTTCCGCGTGCGTTCAGACTACTTCTGGAACGGCATGTATCGCAGCATCAACAAGTACATTCGCACGTGTGACCAATGTCAGCTTTGCAAGAGCCGAACCACACATTCTTCAGGCCCTTTGCATTCCCTAACACCGCCTCATCGACCCTTCCAAACAATCGGAATCGATTTTCTCGCCTGACCGCGCAGCTGTCTGAAGGCATTCCCTTAATGTCTAAATAACATTTAGGAAAATTAAGTGAGCATTGGCGAAAAGCCAAATTCGAAACTCCCAACTCATAAGTAGCGAATCATGCCAAGTATGCAGAAATGAGTCATTCCAGTGGTCAGAAACATATGTCGTGCCCAAAGACCGCAAGGAAATGAAGAGTAGTTAGAGAAACTGTTAGAATAAATACGATAGGCGATTGCAAAAGCCAAGCGTCTTTGCAGCTCAATAACGCTTAAGCTTTCCTTCAAATTTCAGTTTGTTTGTTTGTGTCTTTTTGTAGTTCGTGAAAAAAAATGTTTGTTCAATGAAAGGAGGACGTCTCGAAGTGAATGCCAGTGGCGCATCCATTTCGCGGAGGCCGTCTCGGTTTTCTCTCTAAGTGTCTACGTGCGTGTACTCGCGAGTCGGCGCAAACTGCTTGTGTTCAAAGGGGGGACAAGTGGCAGAGCCGAAGAGTTCTGGGTGTGCAACAGGGATTGGCTGTGAGCTCAGTAAATAAAGTGACCTTCTACGTGCAAAGGGTGGCGACCTAGGGGGTAGAATATATATAAAAGAGAGGTGCAGTGAATACACTTTTAGCTGAGTTTGAGACTTTATCCTTCTGTCACTTTTTTATTGTGTTCTACGGTTTTCTAGTTCTCTCAACCCAGTCTCGGGTAAATAATCAAAATAGTAGATAATTGCATGCCCACTGCCTTGATTGCTGCCGCTGCAGTACTATATGCCTCTTCATAAGGACAGTCCTCAGTATTGAGCTGATATGTTTTTTCCGGTAAATCATTCAGGCACTAAAAATGGGTGATACACAAAAAGACCCAATCTCAAAATCCTCGTCTTAAAACGCCCGTTACACATCCTCCGCGTTATCAACCCCCTCTCCCAAATCCCCAGCTTTCTAAAACCACCTACACACAACCGACCTACTCGATTGCCCTACTTTCTTTGTCCGGCCAGACCAAAACACTGTGGATTTGTGCATTGTTCAGATATTGAAGTCGTAAGATGTGACACATGACTTCAATTTTTACAAGGATTAGAGTTAAGCTAATTGGTTCAACGTAAATTTTAAAAAAAGGCGGAAAAACGGAGTATTGGAAAGAGCCCACAGACACAAAGCCGATTGGCTGCTGGAAGTTTTAATTGTGCCCGAAAAAGAAAATAAATGAGAAAGGGGATGTAGAAAAACAAACCAATCAACCAGATAAAACACCTCCCGCGTGCTGACACGTGCCTAAACAACCTTGCCGCACCTCTCGAACAAATTTAAATCGCTATCGCTAAGGGCACAAACTGGACGTTAACAGAGATATAATTTACACAACTGCAATAAGAAAGTACTCCTCAGTTTGGCATTATCTTATTTAAAATCCTGATTTCTGCGAAAAATGGCGAAGACAGACATCTGTCACAGCGAGCCGTATTTATGCTTAAGAGTGTTAAAGTCGCAAATTCTTTCCAAACCAGGCAGGCTGCGGCACACGAAGGAAACATTTTTGAGAACGCAAAAAGGCTGTTGTAGTCGACGGATTCAATTATTGCTTTCAGAGAAAGAACGAAAATTATAAAACTGCTTGTAGATGTTTCAAATACTAGGTTCTTAGCTGCATAGCCACGGTGAAGAAAAGTTATTGACAAAAACCAAGGTTTGTCCAACGGCAGGCTGAATATTCGTAGGTTCTTGAAGTTGATCCAGGGATTTTGAGGCATTCAAGTAGCGTAGACATTTCCCATACAAAACACTAGACACTTCTTTGTAAATAAACATCCTAAAACTTCGCTTGATTAATGAGCATTAAGCAAACACATAATCACGAATAGCAGAGCTGATTAATGAGTCGCAGCACTGGCATAGCGGGGAATCGAGCATAGGAGCATTGATACTCGGGCGAAGCAAGGCAGGGATTTTGTCGACGGAGTTATTGACACTCGGGAAAAAGGCCCGGGGCATTGGAGATTGTAAAAGTGCCAAGGTGGAATTGTGCAATAACCATTAAAATTTGTCGTTATCACTTTAATACAAGAAGTCTCTGATAGCTCGCCCCTGCTTTTTTCGCTCCCCTGTGAGTAATGGGTTTTACGGAATTCAGGAATTCAGGCAGTGACTTCTGCCCCAAGGGGTGTCTGATGCCTCCGTTGTAGATAAGAAATTTAGCCAGCGCTGTACGACTGATGCATAGGGTCTTTGATGTGCATGCCGCAATGATAGAACACGAACGCACGCCGATTCATTGCTGATTTCCATCGATTTGATCTCATTCGCTGGAGATGTTCTGAGCTCCGGCGCGTTAATACACGCTGCCACCCGGCTACGTAAACGTGAACAGAGAACAGATTTCTGCGTCCCTAAGCCTGCAAACAACCATACTTGTGCTCGGTACTTCAAAAATGTAATGGATTACAATTACGAATTAACGAGCCCCAAATGTAATGGATTACCGTTACAAATGACTTTCGCTGAAAAATAACGGATTACATTTTCTCGTTACGTTACAAATTACTTTCACGTAACTTTTTCCGTACACTTGTCCAGAAAACAATAGATAACAATAGAAATAATTCTGACATTTTTCAAAAATATTTTGCAACAGTACTTTTTATTTCTCATACGCCCGTATTACCGGTAGTCCATGTAAAAATAAAATACGTCACTTGAGAGGAAGATTGTGAATGCAAGGCTGAACTGTAAGCTGAGAAGGTGGCGAAAGCTGCAAACAAAACCGCCATCTCGCTAGCTTACAGCGTCCGGAAATGATCCCTGGAATTGTGCAGCCGAAGCTAGCGGTGGGCCTGTTCAGTAGCAGAATCTACCTCTGCTAGGCGATGCGGAGGTAAGGAACCGATCTACGAAAGCTCCCATTAGATACGGGCCTTTCAAGTGGTGTAAATGTCAAATGCAATTAAACACGAAAAGGTTTCTCAGAAGAAGAATGCGATGGAAGGCGATGGAAAGCAGCTAAGTCTACTTGGCATTGTCTTCTTGGTCTTTGTTTTTCGCATAGTATTTTCACGTCTTTCTAGTGGTTCTGATGAGCGGTCAGACGCAAAATTGATTTTTTGCCTGGCTATTCTTCTTTTCACGATGGTTTCTATTTAAATTTGTTGAACTTGCTCACTCTATGCCTTTGAACTGACTGCTCGTATTGCTCCAGTTTCTTTATTATGTTCATGTTAAAAAAAATTAACGAGTAATTAAAGTAATCCGTTACCAATATTTTGTAACAAAATTAAATTAGAAATTACTGCCGAAAAAAAAAGTCACGTGGAAATTACATATTTACTTCAAAAAGTATTGAATTACAACTAATCCGTCATATCTAACGGAGTTCTTCCCAAGTCTGCAAACAACGAATGTAGTTGCTATATCTGAACTGGTGAATTGAAATTTTACTCCAGTATGTGCAAGTAATATTGCTGGACATCAATGGCACTAACTATGTCATACTCGTATAGCCAATGTTACCCTTCAAAACTTCGGTACAAGGCTCTTCCTCTCAGGCAGACTAACTTCCTGCTGAGCGAGATTTCCCGCGACCAGTTTAAGACTAAAGAAAGTGCTATAGGTAAGTGTAACCTTGGCGACTGCATCGTGTAGAGCAGCAGATAAAAAATTGGGAGCTGAAATAGCACAATTTCGGAAGTCATATAGTATTGATATAGTTAGTAATATAAATCAAAGTACTTGTGGTATGTCGAAAACCATTCATTGGAGTTTTGTGTCTGTCCCACGTCCCTTCTCTTCCCCGGCTCCAGGATTACCATGTCACCATTCTTAATTGTATTATTTTCCTGACACTTCTGTTTAATTCGGAAGATCTTTCATTACTTTCTTTAGGTTGCCTGGCGCCCTACATCGTTTTACTTAGCGTTTTGGGTGGCGTTTTCTAGCACGGGGTAAATTTCAAAATAAACAAGATCACAACGCGACAGCAGGCTACAAAGAGACAGTACATTTACTTACTACCAGAGAACCCAGAAATTCATGAACCCTGGTCGGCGACTGACTTGGTCAGATGAACGCTTTCGCACTGAAACTGGCTTCCGTACTTTTTGTATTTGCGCTGGTCATTCTATAAATTGCAATACTTTGTTCTCCGAGGTCTCAGCGTAGAACAGCTTTGACAACATTTTCGATTTTGTGTGAAAATGAAAACAAAAAAACACAAAATACAGTAAATAGGCACGCCACACAAAATAGCCCCCTAAAAACCAAGTCTTATAGCTCATAAGGTAACAGTATAAAATCAAAGTTCATCCTAGCATTATTTGCAGGACGACCGCCTCGCACAATGCATTCTAAGATGTAGGACGCCTATTGTGAATGGGAGATCTTCGTTAAAAGAAACACCAGCCCCGGATGGCACCAGGTGCGGAACGTCAAAGGTAAAATGTCCCTGCAAATTTAAGGTGCTTTCACCAACACGATATATGACGATACGTCCGCTGAATTTAAAATTAAGACATGATTCTAAAATTGATTGGTCCTATCTTCCTACAGATCTGCAAACATGGAATATGTGTTGCGCCATGAGAAGGTGTGAAGAGGATGCCATCAAAATAAATCACTTACAGTTAAAACTAGATGTTCAACATGCGTTTTTTTTCACAATAGCACCCGTGCTACATAAAGTTTGCTGAGCTACGCATGAGAGCTATAATAATAATAATAATAATAATTTGTTTATTTAAAGTGCCCCAAAGCAACCACGCGGGTCTTCACATTGAAGTACACAAGACAAATAGAAGAAACACAGCACACGCACAGCTTAAAATGTACAAATTAGCATGACTAAAAAATAGGTCGCACATTTCACACAAAATGTAATAGAGTTTCAACTTTCAACTAGAATCGCCAAGTTCTGGCGGAAAACTGGGAGATATGGGAAGATGTCCAAGCTAGATGATGCGATGGAATAAATGCAATTTGCATACAGGACAGTGGTGAGAGTTTAGACATGAATTGAATATAAAAGACAGTAAAATTTCTATTAACGCGACAAGGAACATGAAAATTGACAGCATTCGGAAATTGACTAGCATCAGTCCAACCGTTTACAACCCTGCGAAAAAAAATCAGATCACGCTCGAGTCTTCTATTTGACAAAGACTTAAGTAAAACGCTTTTAAGAACAAATTCATAATCATAATAAACGCGACGCTGAAAATGTCTATCATATAAAATGCGTATCATTCTTTTTTGCAGTTATTCAATACTTAAAGACTGGACTTGTTAGAGAATTCCAAACAAAACAGGCAAATTCAAGCCGTGAACGAACTAAAGTACAAAATAAACGAATCATACAAGCAGGGCGTCTGAACTTTCTAGTTGTACGAGATAAGATACCAAGAGTTTTCAACGCACGGTCAACAATAAAGGAAACATGAGCATTGTATGACAACGCGCTATGAAGGCACACACCGAGATCTTTTATCACAGTCACGCGTTCGATTGGAGTTACTCCCAAAGAGTAAGTAAAATGCATAACAGTCTGTCGTCAGCTCAAAGAAATAAAGAAAGAAAGAATGACGCTTATGAATTGAACTAAGTGTTCTACGATGCGTCATAAATAGAGGGAGTGAAACGTTGTTTTATTGTAGACTGGCTATATGTTATTAAAATGATTAGAAAGGCCTTTACTCAAACGAGGGCGCTGAGGGGTGCAATAAAGTTGTAACAAGAAAAGATCCAAATTTAAGGCTACCACAAATATCTTTATCAAAAAAAAAAAAAAAAACAAGAAAAAAGAATTCACATTACTACAGTACGTGATTTGTTTTTATTTCGGACGGTATGAAGGCCACCGCAAGTAACAATATTTACACAAAACCGCGCATCAACTATAAAATGGGTAACGACGAAAACAATCCCTGGAGTCATTCTTGCCTAAATCGCTTGCACTTTCGCATTTAATTGTATTTTAATCATAAAATGGGTGCCTTCAAGATGCATCAAGATTTATTTCGTGATATGCCACAGGGATATTTTCAACCCAGTCCCGCTACTCCAGGTGAACAAGACAATCCCCGCAAAATTTTGAAAATATATACCGATTGTTAAGACCAGCATGATGTGCAAATGACTAAAGAAGCATAAACGAATGATATACTGCTTTATATTTTTACGATAAATAATTCAGAAACATTTCCCTGTGCATAAGTTCTTCGAAAATATTTTCTTGATAATTTAAATGACATAAATCGGCGAAGCCATTGAACGTTCTAGGTGATCGTTTTCTTTTTCAGGAATTTAATGAGCTTTTCTAATTCTCTGACAAAGGATCGTTTTTTTTAAATATTTGCATTAAACTAGAACTCTATGGGCAAATCATTACAAATATGTTAAAGAAAGAAACATTCTAACTACGCCAAACCAGGAGTAGACACGTTAGGTTGTTTGCCTGGACCTCGATGGGCACCTTTGGAATAAAACTTTGGTTTGTGCTAGTTGGTTCATATTGATTAAAAGGTTAACAGGCGCGAACAAACAGGACGAAAAAAGGCACACGTACGACGCGGACAGGTGCCATGCGTGTCGTACGTGTGTGTTTTTTGTCCTGTTTGTTCGAACCTTTTAACATTTTAATCGGCACCTTTCGTGATGGGCGTCAAAAACCTTTGGAAGGTGTAAACGCAGCATCGGTGAACCCTGCAAAGTGACCTCTGATTTCATAAGGCTGAATCGCACGATCGTGTGCTCGCGGGACTTGTGTAGAGTGCCTTCATGTTCGCTTTGGCTAGAGTGGTGCCATCCTTTGTAATACCACTTGCCGACAAACCAATGTTGTGAGACTGGTTAGCCCGCTACTTTCGTCAGCCATTTTGTAACAGGGCTAATTCCCGTTAGGGCTATCTTCTTGGTTAGCGAAATGCGATCCCCGCTTATGCGAGCGAGCTTTATAGGCGGGATGCCAGCGTGCTGCATTCCGTTTTGTGGGGGAAGTTCCAGACATGGTGCGAAGCTGTACCGATTCCCAACGAAGCCGGAACGGAGGACGGCGTGGATGTCTCAGATCAGGAGTAGGAGGCCTCTCAGGGAACCGAAGACTAACTCGCTAGTCTGCATTGTAAGTACAAAAATTTTCGGTCCCGAGTGCGCACAGTGTCGCGAAGTGATGAAAATATACTTCGTCTCAGCTTAGCATGGAATACTGTTGGCCGGACGTGCTAAAATCGCGAGCGAATTGCCCTGGACGGCGTCTCGGAGGCTGTTCGAGCGCTCGTGCAGCACGAGCGCCAGTTAGGGCAGTCAGTGGTACTGTCTCGTGCTGGCACAGCCTTGGCGGTTAGTCTATGCTAAGGTGAGACGAAGTACAGGGTCCCTTCATATCCCTCGATCAAACAACGCGTCTTCAGATCTTGGCCGTCGAGGCGGGGACTAGGCTCGGGGACCACTCTCTGCGGGCGAGACGCCCGTGCGCTCGCATTCGTAACGCTACTTTTACAAAGCGATTGACGCGCAATCATCGCCGTTCTTTAACTACCCCAAAAAACCGTCCGCGTTTTCTGTACATCGCTCCTGAACATCAGCTCAGGAGCGATGTACAGAAAATGTGCCACGACGACTAGAGAAAGGCCTCCCTCTGATACATGTACCGTTATTAACAGTGGACCGCCCTCATGAGAACACGTTTTCAGCGTCTTGTCTTGCAGAGAAATATATAATCAAAATACGCAGCTCACGTAACGCCACATCATAAAAGTACTTTGTCCAAAAAGTGCAACCACTTTTCTGTTTTACTTAGTTCTATGCAAATACAGAATTCGTCTGAAACGTCGAATCACTATTTGATCCAGCATGTTGTAGATGAAACCCATCCATATAAGGTCTAGCAGACGTAGGAACCCTTCCATGCTGTGCTGTGTTTAAAAGCCTGGCATACCTTTTCAGGAGCACTTTGAAAAATCCTGCTTTGAGTACAGGCGAGCAGATGGGTAGCAGCGTCTGAAACTGACTGCCGTGCCAACATTGTTCACTTCCCAAGGTGAGTAAAGTGACAATCTCAACCAACTGAAACAAGCAAGACCGGTTTGCTGAAAGACAACAGATATATGTCCTCTCGTCATGTGCTGCAGTTTGCAAGTTTTCAGAGTATTCCAAATACTTCTGTTTTAGGGTGAAATTAAGTTAACCAAACTGGTGTTATTTAGTGTCCCTTGGTATGTATACAAAATTAAACAAATACAAACGAAAAGGTACTAACGTTTTATACAATTTTATTCTTATCTGAGCTGTAAACAATATTTCGCGCCACCAATATTCTCCCTTTTCGTCGCCAGATTTTTCATGTGGTTTTTATTGTGAAGGTTTTACTTTTCGTGACAGTCATAGTAATTATTATGTTCCCATTCAATTTCTTCCAGCTTCTCCAAAAATGTGCAACCTCGCAAGCCCCAAGAAAGCTGCAGTGCCACAACCCCACGAGCCAGCCAGGGACTCAACCAATGTGGCTGGAGGGCCGGGAGCCATGGAGCCACTTCAGGATAGCCCAACTATGAGCAACACAATTTTCTTCAGGAACTTAATCCAAGCACTGCCTCCAAGAAAGGTTGCACTGATAGACTGCTTGGAACCTCTCATGAATCACCTATCGAGGCCTTGACTGACGGGACATTTTTTTAAAAGATCTTGAATAGCACTTCAAAAGAATGCAGCACCACACGATATCCTATGTCAGCAGCTCCTTCAGCAGCGTTTATGCAAGATGACCTCATCCTTGAAGATGATTCTGTAGAGCTGGTGCCAAGAGGTTTGGCTACTTCATCAATTCACAAACGACGCAAAGATCCAGCAACAAGCTCCTCCAGCTTGCCTGCAAGACGTCAACTTCATACGTCAGCAACCACTTCGGCAACGTTCCTGCAAGATGTCCGCACCTCTGAGGTTGACCGCATCTCTGAGGATGACTGCAATTATGAAAATGACTGCATTTCTGAAGATCACTGCCTTTTTTATGATGACGGGGTGTCTGAAGATGACCGCATGGATCTGGCGCCAAAAGGCGCCGTCGAAACTGCGTCACCACCTGACCACGACTTACCACCCGGCATAAAATCCACACCAGAGAGCATGTCAGCACGAGCAGGAAACCTCTGTTGCCTTCAGCTAAAGGAAACCGTGAGTGATATATTACCAAGAAGTACAAGAACCTCCAGCTACATCATGAAGCTGCAAAGAAAAAAATTGTCGCCCTGAAGAAGGAACCAAAGAGCGGAGAGCAGCAACTTCGCATGCTAGGCAAGGATCCGCAGTTCCTGGCTGATGACCAGAGAAAGGTACTCGCCAGAAAAACCAGCAGGGGAATGCCATGGTCTATGTCGACCGTGAAGCAAGCTCTCCAGGTCAAGTTTGCCTGTGGCACGACGGGCTACGAGGTGCTCCGAACCATCGGCTATCCACTTCCCGGCTCCAAAACTCTCATGAGAAAAATGCAGTGTTTTTTTTCTTTCTGCCTGGGATTCTCCAAGTGGTTTCAATGTTTTGAAGAAGAAGGCCGACACAATGCACAAAAGTGAACAAGACCGCATCTTTGTTTTTAGATGAAATGGAGATTGAGGAAGGCATTCAACAAGACCAAGCT